TACTCATTAAAATCATATTAGCATACTCGCCTAAAAAGAAGAGAGCAAATCCCATAGCTGAATATTCTACATTATAACCTGCAACTAACTCTGCTTCAGCTTCAGGTAAATCGAAGGGAGCTCGGTTGGTTTCAGCTAAGCAAGATATAAAAAACATCAATAATAAAGGAAACAAGGGGATACCAAACCATATTTGTTTTTGTGCTAAAACAATCTCACTAAAATTGCAAGAGCCTACACAAATTAATACTGTTATTATAATTAAACCAATAGATACTTCGTAAGATACCATTTGAGCTGCCGATCGAAGTGCGCCCAAAAAGCATATTTCGAATTACTTGCCCAACATCTCCAAAGTCCGCCTCACCTCTCCTAGCGCCATGGGCTGGTGCCAAATCGACCCTGCCCAAGCAGCTTCCGGGCAGCAAAAACTCGAGGGGGGCTCTCACTCTCTCTGCGCGTGCCCGTACGACGGGCAGGGTGGAGAATTTTGCCACATGCCCGTGAAGGCTTATTGTGCGGGAGGGTGTCAAGGCCGAGGGGAGTGCCACCAAGGGTACTGCAAGGTAGCCTTTGTCCTCCTTTCTTTCCTCTTTTATTTCATCGTACCTTGCTTTTGTTCCCGGTGTAATATATCCTGCCTTCCTTCCCTTGATTCCACCCCATCCCTTCTTCCCTTCCCTCCCCCCCCCCTTCTTTTTTTTAATATATATTCTGTGTTTCTCTGCTCCTTATGTCTTTCTTCCCAAACCACCCACCTACCCTCCCCGGCTCTTCCCTTCTTCCACCCCTCTTTTGAAACGTTTCCCTCGCATGCATCCTTTCTCTTGCACTCTCACGCGCCCTCTCTTGCACGCATACGCCCCTTCCGCACTCACCTCCCCCCCCCTCCCCCCCCCCCCCCCCCGTGTGCCCTTCGCCCCTCTTCCCCGCTCTCCAGTGCGAGCCTGGGTGGTACGGCATTGACTGCAGCGTGCCATCCCAGGCCACAGCAGCAGCTCTGGCACTCACACGTTCCCTTTCTTGCACACATATGCCCTCTTTCCCCCTCACCTCCCTCCCCTCTCCCCCCAATCCTCCAGTGCGAGCCTGGGTGGTACGGCATTGACTGCAGCCGGCCATCCCAGACCACAGCAGCAGCTCTGGCACTCACACTCTCATCAATAGGCGCCGCTGGTGGCAGTAAATCGGGGGGAATCTCCTCTGATCTTCATGGGGAAGGTCATGGTGTGCTGCAGAGAGAACATGAGGGGCAGTCTGGGCAGGCTGGGCAGGTTGTGCAGGCTGAAAAGGCTCAGCATGCATCGTTGCCTCTTCCCGAGTGGTTTGGGGCGTCTGCAGCAGACGGGGAAACGTGGGAGGAGGTGGAGCTCGAGGGGTCCGAGGAGGAGCAGAGGGAGGAGGAAGTGGGAGGAGCAGGAAAACCGGGGTCTAACGCAGTGGTATCAGCGGCAACAATGGCGTCTGTTTCCAGTGCCTCCATGTCTCTCCTAGCCCCTCGACGCCGTCCATTGATCTACATCTACGACCTGCCAGCAGAGCTCTCCTCGCACCCTTTCCAGGTGGGTGCCCTGTTGTGGATGCCCTGTTGTGGGTGCCCTGTGTGGGTGCCCTGTTGT